ATAATTCAAACCTAGTTTTTTTTAGGTGGAGAAGGAGAGAAAGGTGTCACGACCCCAAACCGACCCGGTCGTGATAGCGCCTATCGTGAAGACAAGGCCAGCCGACACAATACCCATATTAACCCCTTAATCATTAAGAGTCATTTTAAGCCTTTAATTAAACAATATCTCATAACATAAGTCTGAATGAACAGTGCGAAAATAACATACAAGCCCGACATCGGGGTGTCACTAGCCATGAGCATCTACCAAGGTCTGAATACTACAAAAATAGTCAAAATGTACTAAGTACATAAATGAAATGAGAGGAAGGAAGCAGTGCTGTGAACGTTGTGCAGCCACCTTGCTAACCCTAATGACTCCGCGTCTGAGCATCCAACACCCGTTACCGGGTTCCGAAATACCTGAATCTGCACACGAGGTGCAGGGAGTAATGTGAGTACTCCAACCCAGTAAGTAATAAGAGTAAATAAAGACTGAGCAGTAGGAAACAATGAATCCACATTTATGTTAAACTCAATAAGTACAACAGGCTTTCAAATCAAAGTACGAGTCAATCGTCTCGTTTAAAATCCAACTTTTGGTAAAAATCATTTAAAAATACCTTCCAACAGTTTCAGTAGGGGTTCAATACCATTTTTTAGTAAAGGAGATGAAAACAATAATTGGCCCCTCGGGCAAAACAGGAGTCATAAATACCTCATAACAAGAAAATCTCAGTAGAAATATCAAAAGCCAAATCAGTGGTTAAGTTCTGAACATCTCATAAGCCCCAGCTTAAATGAAAGTTGTTTAGAAACATTTATTCAATGTTTTCGACAGAGGCTCGGTATAAAGATGAGTGAAAGCAGTCAATAAATCAACATATTCGATAGAAACTTACTTAAAGAGGAGTAAAAATCAATAAGTTCATAAACAGGCCTCTCAGGCAAAGCATCACTCAGGTGCATGTATATATATTTGTCGCCCTTCGGGCTAGCCTCTCAGTCACTCGTGACTCAACTCTAACCAGTCAGTACTTACACTCAGCACTCACGCTCAATAGGTACCACATAGTAACCGCTGCGGCGCGCAGCCCAATCCATATATCGCTGCGGCGTGCAACCCGATCCATATATATATATATATTGCTATGGCGTGCAGCCCGATCCATAGAAATATAATCCTCACAACCAGGCTCTCGGCCTCTCTTAGTCATTAACCTCACAATCAAACTCTCAGTCATCAACCTCACAATCAGACCATCGGTCTATCTTAGTCATCAAATCACGATCACTCGGACCATCAGTAAAACAGGGAACACAGCCCAAACAATTTTCATATTTTTAAGAAATAAAGTGATAAAACCACATTTAAACAATAAACAGGTAAAACATGACTGAGGACATGCTTTCAAAACAAATAGAGTGAGGAAAAATAGTGAAAGTGCCCCTAAGGGTCTCAGCAGGTCGGCAAGGCCCCAAACATGGCATACAACCCAAAATATAATATAAATCCCTAAAACATGGAATATCATAAGATTTCAAATCAAATACGCGACTTAACAGTCGTACGGGATGGACCAAGTCACAATCCCCAATGGTACACCACTCCACGCTCGTCATCTAGCGTGTGCGTCACCTCAAAATAATACAATGATGTGTAATCCGGGGTTTCAAACCCTCAAGACAGTATTTACAATCATTACTTACCTCGATCCGGGCCAAACTCTATCCCGCGACGCCTTTGCTCCTCAAATCGGCCTCCACGCGCATCGAATCTATCCAAAATCAGAACGAATACATCATAATATGCTAAGTAAACAAAGCCCAAGCGAAAACAACCAACAAAGGGCACGATTCCCGAATTTACCAAAACCCGTGCCCCGGTCCCACATCTCGGAATTGGGTAAAATGTATATTTTCAGAATCCTCATACCCTCACGAGTCTAACCATACCAAAATTATCCAATTCCGGTACCAATTGGTCCTTCAAATCATCATTTATATTTTTGGAAGATTCCACAACTTTTCTTCCCAAATTCCATCCCAACTCACGAATTAAATGATGAATTCAATGATAGATTCATGTGTTCTAGCCAAATCTGAGTTAGAATCACTTACCCCGATAAATTTCTTGAAAAACCTTCAAATGATCGCCAAAATTCGGGCTCTCTAGGTCAAAATATTAAATAAAACCCAAAACCTCGTATTTATAGAGTACCCCACAGATTTCCACCTCTGCGGACTACACAAAAACGATTGCGGTCCGCACAAAAATGACTGCGATCGCACAAGTTTTCATCTGCAGTGACAGGCTTTAGTATTTTGGCCATAACTTTCGCTATAGATGTCCAAATTGCAATATCTTTACCTTTCTGGAAACTAGACACGAAGCGCTACAATTTCACTTTTGAATTATCTCAAAATTCTTTATAGATCAAAAGATATGAGCTTCCGAAGTAGGACTAGTGAAATGTTCCCCACCGCGGCAGCACTGCATTTTGTGCGGTCCGCACAACACCTTCCGCGGCTGCACTTCATTTTGTGCGGATCGCGCTGGTGGGTTTCGAGGCCTGCAACCCTTCTGGACCTGCTACAGCTATGATTTTCGGCCTAAAACATCCCAGAACCTACCCGAAACTTCAAACCGTACCAACACATCCCATGACATCGTTCAAACTTGTTCAAAACTTCGGAACGCTCACAACAACATCAAATCACTAATTTAACACAAGATTCAAGCCTAATAACTCTTAAATTATGCTTTCGATCAAAAAATCTATCAAATCTCGTCGGAATGACCTAAAATTTTGCACACACATCCCAAATGATACAACGGAAATACTGCAACTTCCGGAATTTCATTTCGACCTCTATATTAAAATCTCACCTACCAACCGGAAAACGTCGAAATCTCAATTTCGCTAATTCAAGCCTAAACCTTCCACGGACTTCCAAAATGCATTCTGATCACGCTCCTAAGTCCCAAATCACCTAACGGAGCTAACCAAACCATAAAAATCCCGATCCGAGATCATATACAAACAAGTTAAATCTTGGTTAAACCTTTCAAATTTTAAGTTTCAAACTGAGGACTGTTCTTCCAAATTTCATGCAGATTACCCTGAAAATCAAAACCAACGATTTACATAAGTCAAAATAAACCATACGGGGCAAGTCATGCCCGAGAACTGGCGGTCAAAGTGCAAAAGCTCAAAACGGGCCGAGCCTCGACTAAACATGTAAGTTTTTTACTTTTCATTAAGTATTTTGATATACTTTTGTATAAATTTTGAAATACTAATTCAATATAATTTTTCTTATAGGTTCGCTTCATAGCTGACGAGGAGGAATTCATCTGCAGTCAACCACCTAATGAATTGGGCGAGGCAATCCAACTTTCAGACAAGGATGCTGAAAGAACACTCCTTGAGTACTTTATATACTTTGAACTAGACAATAGAACCAGTTTTCGACTGGGCTTGTAATAAGTGTTAACTTAGTTTTGTTAGCTTAATGCGTTAGTTGTATTGAACTTTAACTTTATTTGTTTTAATGTTGTTGTTGTTGTTGTGTTGTTGTTGTTGGTGCTTGTAATAGGGAATTTGGTATGCTGGCAGGTGGTATAACTGCCAAAACAGGCAGTTTCTGCCAAAATTATTACCAGAAAAGCGGCCAACTTTGGTCGCTTGTTGGTCGCTTTTCTTATTCAAAAAAATATTTCCTGTGCAATAGCGACTAACGTTGGTCGCTAATTAACCCAGATTTCTTAAAAAGCGACTAACTTTGGTTTCTATTCTATTAAAAGAAATAATTTCTGGAAAATATGTTTAAAAAATAATTAAATTCTTGCAATTAGCGCCCAATTTTGGTCGATTATGTTTAAAAAAAATTAAAAAAATTAAAAAGAGCGACCAACTTTGGTCGCTATTTTTCATATTTTAAAATATAACATTTGGTTTACAGACTAAAGTTGGTCGCTATATTTTGATTAATAATAAATAAATAAATAACGTAATTTAAATATAGAGAGCAACTTTGGTCGCTAAATTTATATTATTAAAATACTAAAGCGACCAAAGTTGGTCTCTATATTTAAAACCCGGAATATTTGGTCCTTTTACCTTAGAGACCAAAGTTGGTCGCTAATTAGCGACCAACTTTGGTCTCTAAGGTAAAGCGACCAGCAAAATAGTAACCAAGCCAGTTTGGATGCTTTTTGACCTGTAAGTTGGTCGCTTTTTGTGGTCGTTTTTTTCTGGATTTCTAGTAGTGTTCTTAAAGTCTATTGTTATAGCAACAGAGATCCTCGAGATCGGGTACCATCTCGAGGCTAGGTTTATACAGGGGTCTTTGATCCCTCGAACGTTTTACGACAGCGTCAATCGTATGACACGGCCATAAAATATATAATAGTTAATTTATCACTGCATTGTTCCAGTTCCTACTCAAATATATAATAGTTAAACCATCAAACATACAGTAGAAATTAGGAGTACATTACTAATACAATAGTTAAACCATCCTAATCCTAACATACAATAGAAATTAGGAGTACATTACTATATTAGGTAGCTATATACTCAAGAGCCTTATATACGATTTTGAAGATATTTCTAATCTAATACTATACTAAACTACAGTACTCCCTCCGTTTCAGTCTATGTGAACCTATTTTTTTTTGGCCCGTTCCAAAAAGAATGACCTCTTTCTAAATTTGGAAGCAATGTAGCTTAAACTTACAATTCTACCCTTAATGAGAAGCTTTTATAACCACAAAAATACTCTAGACCCCTTTTTAATTTGTTTAGGATCACAAATTCCAAAAGTCTTCATTTTTTTTTAAATTTCGTGCTCAGTCAAAAAGGTTCAAAAGTACTAAATAAGAGTAATATTTGCAGTCAACAAAGCATAAAGAGTAGTAATTAAAGTGGTCTATCGTGCCCACAGAAAGCACATTAGAGTGCTCAAGTGGTTCACCGTCCCCAACCCCACAAATAAAGAAAAAGTCGCACCAAGTACTCCAACCATTGGTCGATCCGTCCACTTTTATATTTTTATTTGGACTAGAAAGTTTGATCACTTTTTTAAATACTATAAATGGTCACAAAAAAAAAAAAATACAGGCACACACAATAGGAAAGGAGATGCTGCTGAACGAGTGAAGCCAATGACTCTCTCCGACAGGAATTTACTTCCGAATTCCTCATCCTTTTGACGTTCTCCGGCCACTTCTTCCGATCTTAGCTTGCTAACAATCTCCTTCACTATCTGCTCTATACATTCCGCTTCATTCCTACCAATATTAATGAATTATTTCCCATAATTCAACTCATCCACCAGTTGATAAATGACCTAAATTAATTAATTAAATTTGATTTGCTAGTATGAATTCAAAGAAAACAAATTTTTTCCATGAACAACCAAAGGTTAAACAGTATATGCATGCATGACCCCTGCAAGATTAATTTTATGCACAGGCACAAATTATAAGATAGAGTAAACTTAATTCTTTCATTCAAAATGAATATTCATTTCTGAATCTCAACGTCAATTTCGAATCTCTCTAGAGAAACAAATAAGATCAACAACTTTTCTAATATGGATGATTGATCTGTAATGACCCTATATTATTATTATTTTTTTAATTACATGATTCCTCACATAGATGTAAATATAACATTGAATCCATTTGATTTCTAAAAGGAATTACAGTAATACTAACCCGTCATGTGTCTTTCGGAGATCAAAGCCTGATATATTTCCTGCTTCATCCAAAGCATCCCTCCATCTTTTCACCCTTTCTGATCTTCCAATCTCATCATCATTTTCACTATCATCAGCAAATGCCTCGGCCAAGCTGTTCCTTTGCCTTCGTACTTCTGATGGTTCCACGTCGTAGAATATCGGTATAACAATCTTCTTTAACAGTTTCCTGCAATCCATAATCTTTACAACTTCATCCAAACAATCTTTAGATAAAACAAAATTCTCGCAGAAGACAACAACTATAATCTGGGACTCTTCAATAGCTCTCGACGAATCCTTTGAAACCGATATTCCTCTATCTTGGTTCCGATCATCTTTGAAGGTGTAAATCCCTTCTTGTTTCAAAGCTCCATGCAAATGGCTGAGGAAGGTTTGGCCTATATTTCCCGTCTCGCTAAAACTCAAATACGCGGCATAACTGAGTTCTTGTGCCATTTTTTGTTGATCGATGGTGAAGGAATTGCCGGAAAATTAATGATTATTGTGCAGTTGGCCGGAGAGGAAGACTTAGCTTAGAATGTGTGTGCAGTACGTATTTTTCAAACTTCTAAGGAAGACTTGGGGTCAACTCATCTCAAGTCTTTTGTCTTCTTCAAATGACTTGGGGTTTGTTTAACTTTATATTCCAACACTAATTGTTCTTTTCTATTGTTGTATTTTACCACTTAAAGATAAGAAATTTACTTACAATAACTCCAATCCATTACACTATTTTTTACACACACAACAAAAATACTCCTTTTATATTTTTCTTTCTCTTCTATATTATATTATATTTTTTATAAAACAAATACATTCTTTTTTCTTTGCTATTTATCCCATATAATTCATATTTCTTTCTTATATAACCAGTTAGTATAAAATTATTTTATACCTTTAATTTTTAAATAAATATAAATTATAAGCAAATATTATACATTATACATATTAATGTATAATTCAAATAAAAATGAAATCATTGATAAGATATAATTAAATAAATATTACATTATGGTAATATTTAGTTTAATTTTACATAAATATTCAACTTACAAGACTAGTACGTTGCTCCCATAAATGCTCTGTTTACCGTGAAAATGGTAACAACAATTAAATTTGTGAATGAGATTCTAATTAAAAATACCTGATCTATTCTCGAGCTAGTTGTTAGAGCAGATGATGCTTAGAATGTGGAGTTTAATGATGAAATGCAAGCTAAAACGAGGCACTAATCAAACCAAGGGGCCTGTTGCCCGGATGCAGGATTGGTCAATGGGGGACCTCGGGGTCGATGTTCTGGTCGAGCTCGAGCTATCGGGGGCGATCGGGAATGGGATAACAATTAAGATATGATTAAATAAAGCTCTTTATGGCCAATACCGAGCGATAAGATGAAGAACAAGTAAGAGAACGATGAATATTAAAGTGGCCTCAGGCCAGTGAGAATGAGCAAATTAGAAAGAAGAGAGAGAGAGAGATGTATTATTGATCTTGTGGAGAAATGGAGCAACATCAATCCTCTATAAGGTAGTGTGAGTTCCCTTTATATAGGAGGGGAACCCGACTACTAGTACATGGGCATTAATTATAAAGTATGGAGATGGGACGGCTTGACGTGACGCCTCAGCATAGGCTCAGGATAGGCCGGCCCTGTCAGACTTAGCCGTGTGCCTTGGGAGCTTCCCCCTCTGTCCTGGCTTCGATCTCCGTCTTTCCTGAGTCGGGCCTCGATGAGCCCCGAGGGAGGGGGTTCGGTCGTGGCTCCACGCCCTCTTGGTCTCGAGGCATTCTTCCGAAATGTCTTGATAGCGAGAAATTAAGTCCTCTGATTTTCTCCGCATACAGATAGTCTCCGCGTTTCCCAGAATGAAGCGAAGGGAAATAATTCTGACGCTTGACTCCTCGAGCTTCTTACAGCGACGTCACACCAGTGATGCAACTTATGGCGCGAGCTTTGTGGCAACTGGGGCATTCCATGGATCTGTGTTTTTCGACTTCATTCGATGCACTGCCGATTCCCGTTCCCCAAGGTGAATGTACCGCCGTCGATTCGGTTTTTCAAGAATGCAGTAACTGCGTCTGCAGGTCAATCTTCCAAAGCCTCGATGACCGTATCATTACCCCCTATAAACGGGGGTGCATTGGTGTTGTTTTTCCTATCCTAGTGCTTTCGTTGGCTCATTTGCCCATCTTTTCTTACCATCTTCCTTTATCCTTGAAGATCATGCTTGGGGCTCATAGCCTCAAGACCGTTTGGCGGAGTTCCCTTAGATTTTGTTGTGACCTTTTGCCGGGGCTTCCCTTTGTCGAGCATGATTGTGCCACCTCGTTGCTGCTGTGGTCGTTGATATGTTTGTTGTGGCTGTTGCTGTTGGCTCGGGATGATGACATACGAATGTTGATTTTCCTTGTTCGTAGAAAGATCTTCAGATTATATACCGCTGCTCAAAAGGGGTCTCAGATTATACACCGCTGCTTACCTTTATACCCCGGCTCGACGTGGTGCTCTACCCCGAGCTGGGGGCTTGCACAGCTAGACGTTCCAAGAAGTGGATTCTAAGTAGCCGTGCAAGCGGGACCGAGGTTTGTTCGGTCCGCTGTCTCTCCGAGGTTCTCTTGGCCAGCGAGGGTCCTCGAGCTTCGGAGAGCTATGACGTTTTTTCATCCCTCCCTGCTACTCGCTTTATCCCTTGGGGATATCAGTATGGAAGGCTGGGATGAAGCTTTCGAGGATGTGCATCCGGAGGCAACTGTTGTAGGAGGTGGGCCTTCGAAGGTTGACTGGTCTTCGGGCTTTTACTTCGCGTGTGCATCCTTTTGTTTCTTCCTTTATGCGTAGGGATCCTCTGTAGGCTTTTGTAATTGTATGTAATGACCCCTCGAGGGCTGTTGTACATGGATCTTTATGAATATGAATATACCCCATTGACTTCTACTTTCGATTCTTGCCATGTAATCGCATGATCTCATGCCCTTCGAGGCCCTTTGAATGTCTTCCTTTACTGTTGACCACTGATATCTAACTCGGGCGCGAGCATTCTTTCCGATCCTCTACCGATCGACGTGACTTTTTTCTGAGCCCTTCGTCGTACCTCAGACCAAGCCTGAATAGATCTGATAGGTTCAGGCTGTTGGGCTCTCTGAGTTGTAAGGAAATAATATGCTGAGTTTCAGAGCTTTTCGAGAATGTTATCCTGAATGGAGGTCAGTTTTGGGTACCTGGGGGTCCCTTTTGATCTTGATGCAGATAGCTTTTTGAAGCGTATAGGATAGACTTCTGTTGAGGAGTTGCCTGTACTCAAGCGCTGCCTCGAGCCCTCGTGGAGCTTTCATGATCGGAGCTTCCCGTGCTCATTCCTCTTTTTAGAAAAGGGAACCATGAGACCGGGTACTGCCTTGAGTCAAGTGATGAAGTTGAACGCTTCCCAAAGTCCGACTTCTTTTTGGCGGGGATCCTCGAGGTAGAGTGATGCATCAAAATTGGAGATAATACGGCCGACTCCTTGAGTCCTGGCTTTTCATCGAAGGATGCTTCCGGGATCAGATATTACCCCATCAATTTGTATCGAGGCTATTGTCTTCCCAAGGCTAACTCTAGGTAGGCGAGTCATCGCTGCTTCTCACATCTTCGACTTTGGCATAGGGTTCTTCATTTCTTCAGGCGCAAAAAGCATTGGTGCACGTCCTTGCTCTTATCTGTTAGTTTTACCATAGTCATGGCAACTACTTCGGGGCCGGCCCGACAGGGAGTGGGGAGTGCTGCTCCAGGCGCTCAGAAACCGCGAGGTTTGCTCTGAAGACCGTGTCTTTGATAAGAGAGGGACATCTAGAGATGGTGATGAGATATTGTGGATGGAGCGAGGGGATAACGCTGCAGGTGATTTCCCCGGATGAGAGTATTACGGACTCCACTGATGGATTCTTGAGCGTATACCTATATCCTTTCCCATTTGGCCCCCTTGATAGGGTCGTGGTTGATTTTTGCTTGGAGTATCGGGTTACTTTGGCGCAGATACATCCATCGTTTTGGCGAGTGGTGCTGATGATGAGGTTCTTTGCGGAGAAGGCTGGGCTTGAATTCACGCTTAACAACCTCGTCAGGCTATACCGGCCCTTTCAGCACCAAGGCCTGCTAACCCTAAGGTGTTGTTCGTCCACGCCCTTTGCTGTCGATGATGAAGAAGATGGGGATTGAGAAAGGGCCAGTTGGATTATCCAAGTCCGGACGGCCAACATTATCCTTGTGGAGCTTTTGCCATTTCCCGAGGGATGGAATTATGCATGTGAGCGGAGCGTCTGGAGCTTTTTCAGATTTTGCCTATAGCGAAAATCAGTTGAGTAATCGTGTTTTTTCCCTTTTCGCAGCAACTTTATGGATGTCGAGCGAAGTTCTTGACCTGCCCGGCTGGATCTGGAGGCTGGTAACCCATTCGACCTGCGATGAGCGTCGGTGGCAAGTTGTATTCCGTATTAGATGGGGAACGAAATACCAAGGTATGCGCGCATGTTTCCTTTGCCTTGGCATTCGTATATTTGAGGTAATATTTCCTTCCTTTCTTTTGTGCTAGCTTTGCCGTTTGCAGGTATCAGGCGGTTCTTCAAGATGAGGTAGTGCTCTTTCGAAGGGGAGAAGGAGGCGTTGGCCTCCGAGCCGAGGGATGACGGAAATAAAAGGGATTGGTACCCGCAATGTGATGGAGCTTTTAGTGGCGCTGAACGGGCCTGTGTACTCGAGGAGAGGGCATCGTCCGAGCTTGCTATTCCCAGAGTATCTACTTCCCGGGCGGCGGTTCCTCCGAGTCAATATGCTTTGCCCGAGGTTGGTTCTCCTGGGGCTGAAGAGGTAGGATCAACAGGAGTGTGCTATGACTTCGAGGAAGTCCGTCGGCTTCACTTCATGGTAAGCTTAGGTACAGTTTTCCTGTATTCCACGTCCTCCTCCCTTTATTGAGTTTTCCTTGTGCAGGCCTGTGATAGGTTTATGTCTGAGCTGCTCCGTCAAGGGGCCAGGCTTCGGAAAATTCTGGACGAGGGCGAGTCCCTTAGGCTCCTTAGCGATGAGAAGGAGGTCGAGTTGATGTATTGGCGATATGAGGCGTACCGGAGCACGAATTACGAGAGCTATTTGATGGAGTAGGTAACCTTTTGTGGAACGTGCTTCGCTCCTTTTGGACCTTAAGGTTAACCTCTTTTTGTTATATTAGCTGTAAAGACGGAGGCCTTGAAGTACCTTAAGGGTGACATTGACCGCGTCAGAACTGCTTGTGGTGAGCTAAGAGCTCAAGTGCAAGCTCAAGCTTTAGAGGAGACAGGCGCCTCGGCCAAGGTCCCTGCCTTCAAAGCCCAACTCCGCTTGGCTCGTGACAACACCAAAGTTCAGGCGGATATGATGGGGAAACTTGAATCTGATCTCTCGAAGATTAGGGATGAGATAATTGATGTCCGGGCTAAAAGCGGCACTAAGCCGAACCAAGGCTGATCAAGAGATGGTGATTGATATGAAGGATGCTACTGATGCACAAGCCGAGCTGAAGCGAGCCCTCGACCAGAAGAAGAGGATCGAGGAATATGTTCGTTGCAAATCCCGAAGAGAGGTACTGGAGGAGATCAGTGCAAT